CAGTAGATGATTTTATGTCACAGTTGCATATCTTTCTAGTTGCTGTATGTGGGACGCAGCCTCAGCATGGCCAGAGAAGCGGTGCGTTGGTGCGCACCCGGGATCTGAACCCGGGCCGCCAGTAGCGGAGCACGAGCACTTAACCGCTAAGCCACGGGGCCGGCCCCCGAATTAATTTTTTAAACTGAAGCCAAGTACAAATATTTATGTTAAGACTACTACAGAGAAACCAACCTGTGAAGCTACAGTCAGGCACACACATACAAGTGTACCACTTGACATCTTTTACACATATGAAAAATGTTCAACAATCATTTTTTAAAAGTTTCTTAAAAAAATAATTTTATATCAATTACTTTCAATATGATCATACATAAGAGATGACATATAATTAGGAAAGCTATATTCAAAACATATCCATTCCACTGAGGCAGTATGATGTGGTGGGTAGGGCTTTGGAATCAGCCTAGATTTAAATCTCATCTCAGACACTTCCTAGCTGTAGGACCATTCTCTTAGTTTGTTCATCAATAAAGCGAGGAGTCCACTGCTACTTCAGAGGTTAACAGAATATTATTAATAATAATAACTACTAGATCTTTTTCCTTCCTTCATATTATGATTGGCTCTGGCAGGTTTCCAATGGGCAATTAAGAGGTCTGGCAGGTTTCCAAGGGGGCCAGCCCAGTGGCAGAGTATTTAAGTTCACACGCTCTGCTTCAGCAGCCCAGGGTTTGCTGGTTGGGGGATCCCGGGCTCGGACCTACACACTGCTCATCAAGCCATGCTGTGGTGGCGTCCCACATACAAAATAAAGGTAGACTGGCACAGATGTTAGCTCAGGGACAAAGTTCCTAAAGCAAAAAGAGGAAGATCGGCAACAACTGTTAGCTCAGGGCCAATCTTCCTCAGCAAAAAAAAAAAAAAAAAAAAAAGAGTGAAGCCCATTTGACCTGCAAAGACTTTACCATCAACATTCAAAAGTAGTATAAAACTGGGTGCTAGTAAAATAGGAAATCCTTAGAGAATAGTTCTGCTTCTTCAAAAAATGGTAGCATTAATTATGGTTGATTCTAATGATAATAAGAGTCTACCAAATTTCAAAAAAAAAAAAAGAAGTAGAAAGTAATATATACTGCCTACAAATTTTATCCATGTACACAGTAATCACCAAAATAAAACCCCTGCTGATGAGAGAAGAATATGGGTTAAAGGTTATGAAAAGGAAACTCAGAGGAGAAAAAAAATAGAAGTTGCCAATAAGTAACCCAAGATATTTAATCTCACTAGTCAAGGAAATGGAACTTGATACCATTGGATACCAACACCCCCTCTGCTATCAGATAGGTCAAAAAAACTAGATAACATCAAGAGTTGATAAAAATGGGACAAACAGGTACCCACTCTCATATACTAATACTGAAAGTATGGACTGCTACAGTTATCTTGGAGGGCAATTTGGCAATATATTTCAAAATTATAAATGCACCCACCCTATGATCCAGTAATTCCAATTCTCATTATCTACCCCTGATAAGCACTCCCCAATAAACTGAGGAGGTGGATACAGGGATATTCACTGCAGCACTGTTTTCTTGTTACTATAAACAATGAGAAGTTCATTAATAAGGGAATGGCTAAATAATGTGGTATATTCAGACTGTGGTATAAACGAAGCAAGTATAGTAAATATTGTTAAGTGAAAAGAGTAAGCTGCAGGAAACTATACACAATCACAGTGCACAATAAATTTCATCAATTCTAGGCACTTCCACCACCACACACTTGAACATCTCTAAAATCAGATTAGGTTTTACAATCTATGATATTTTACAGTTATAGCTGGCAGTTTTTCTTTCTTAACAGTACATAAGAAAATAGTAAGCCTAAGAATTGATGAAATACAGCATGTAAACACACCCACATATTCTACATGTACATTTGTATGAATGTAAATGCAAAGAAAAAGATCTAGAAGGAGAAATGAGAGAAGAGGAGAATGTGGGAGGAGGCTAGGATTAGGAGGTGATGGAAGAGAATTTAAACCTTACTTGCAACAGTTTAATCTTTCAAAGGAAAATGTGTGGAAGAACAAACCGAGGGGTTAAGAGGTATTGCCTGTGGGGAAGGGACTGGCAAAGCTAGCGGGTGGGGACTGAAGAGGAGTTTTCCATTTACATATACTTCTATATATCCAAAATTTTTTTCAACAAGAACAAACTCACATAATACTTTGAAAAAATAAATATTAAAAAAAGACAAAACTGTGGCACTGACCTTATTTGCTTAATAAAAATTGAAACAACTCAGTAACTTGTGAATCTCCCATCTGCTTTTACTACTGAGCAAACAGCATCACTAGACAATCAGCACCAAGAGTAGAAACTTCCTTTAAATAAGCTTTTAGAACAGAATTATCATAGTTCTGTATTTACCAACTAAAGGCAATTTTCATTTCAAAATCGAACTCTTAGAAAGCTATTTTAATCAATGATGGACATTAAGATCTTTTTAAAATATTCATTCATTCAACTTTATAAATATTTATTGAGCCACCATGTGTAAATCATTGTGCTAGACGCTAAGGATTCATTGTCCTCCTGGAGCTTACAAACTACTGAGTTCAATTAAAAAATTATAATTTGGGAATGGAGTAAATAATTGAGTCTAGGTGCATATTTCAAACAAATCATAACAAAATTATATTGAGATAAAGAAAAGATAAATAAAGTTTACTTCTAACCTAGAAAAAAAATAAAATTAGATCAAAAAGGTAGGTAATGAAGTAGACTTGTTTCAACTCCATAGGACGGGCCAGTAGTTGCCTTAAATTCCAACACAGCATATAATTAAAATAAAGCAAAACAGATTCAAGTTTACAAAACCTAAATACACCTTTACATTATCTTTCATGTAAAAACCAACAAGCCTAAAAGAACTGCTCTTTACTTCATTCTATTCCCAACGAAATCTCTCTGAAATACTATCTTGAAAAATTATCTTAGCCAAAAAAACAGTGTTACACCTGTTCACTGCTGCATTATTTCAAATCAAAAAAGGGGCCGGCCAGGTGGCATAGCGGTTAAGTTCACGCGCTCCACTTTGGTGGCCTGGGTTTGCGGGTTTCGGATCCCAGGCTCGGACCTAGGCACTGCTCATCAAGTCATGCTGTGGCAGGTGTCCCACATATAAAATAGAGGAGGATGGGCACAGATGTTAGCTCAGGGCTAATCTTCCTCACCAAAAATAAATAAATAAATAAAATTTTAAAAGGAATCTATTCAACAATAACACAATGCTTAAATTAAGTAACCCACTGAACAGATTATACAGCTATTAAAATGACAATTATAAGGGCTATACAGCATTTCAAAGAACAGATTTATGATATATTAATTAAAATAAGTAGAATGAAAAAATTATATAGTGGCTATGTTTACAACTATGTAAAAATGCCTGCATGTGACCAAAGACCCAAAGAGAATGTAAAAGATAAAAATTTAAGAATATGGGCAAGTGATTACACATTTAGATCTTTCTTTTAAAAAATTACAGTGAAGATTTTTCTTACAAAATTAGCTACCTAGAACTCTGAATTCTAAAATGTTAGGTAGTTAAAAGATGTAAACTAATAGCAGCTACTTTTTGGCTATTAATTACCAAAAAGCCTTTCTCCAATTTTAAAGTGCTTGTAACGTTCCTTTACCATCTACCTTAATTTTGCACATATTAACCACCAGAAGTTTTCTTATGCTAATTACGTCACAGGTAATTATTAGAGAAATATAGCACAGAACAACTTTCTTCTCACTTTCACCAAATCGTGATGATTTGAAAAACTTCCAATTTCTGATCTTAGCCTATCAGTTAAAAGATTTTTAGAAAGTTTTTGTTTTTTAAAACCAAAAAGGCACCAACCTAACTAAGTCATTTTATCTTCAATCTCATAAAAGGAAAACACGCTCCCAGAGATTCAAGAACAAGGGAGTAGTGAGCCTGAGAAACAGTCGGGGCAGAGGGCAGAGTAGAAGAAAACTTCCTCATTTTGTTCAGTCAGGATTTCTGGGCTTTTGTTTTGCTTTTTCCTTTCTTTAAAAAAAAAAACATTTTAGCTCTTCCCGTAAGCGGCCTGAGGTGATCTCTGAAAATGGTTCGCTACTCACTTGACCCAGAAAACCCTACAAAATCATGCAAGTCAACGAGGTTCAAATCTTCGTGTTCACTTTAAGAACACTCGTGACACTGCCCAGGCCATCAAGGGTATGCATATCCGAAAAGCCACCAAGTATCTGAAGGATGTCACTTTAAAGAAGCAGTGTGTGCCATT